GTGGGTGGCGTGACTGTAGGTGGGTGGCGTGACTGTAGGTGGATTATGTGGCTGAATATGTGGTCGTTCTTGCCAGACTAACTGAAAAAGTTAACGGAAGCATAGTTAACAAATCGGTCCATCAACGTAACAATGTAATCTAGGAATTGATGTATAAAAACTGTTGACCCAGACGACGTTATTTTTATTGTCTCAGAAATGTATCAAAGGAGACAAAGGATATCCTTGCGTTTTCATTTTGTCTGTTTTCTATTTGTTCAAATTGATTCTGTTTGGAAGTGTATGATAGAAGGTATGATTGAAGGTAGTATGATAGAAGGTATGATAGAAGGTATGAGAGAAGGTATGAGAGAAGGCAGTATGAGAGAAGGTATGAGAGAAGGCAGTATGATAGAAGGTATGAGAGAAGGCAGTATGATAGAAGGTATGAGAGAAGGCAGTATGATAGAAGGTATGAGAGAAGGCAGTATGATAGAAGGTATGAGAGAAGGCAGTATGAGAGAACGTATGAGAGAAGGCAGTATGAGAGAAGGTATGAGAGAAGGCAGTATGATAGAAGGTATGAGAGAAGGCAGTATGATAGAAGGTATGAGAGAAGGCAGTATGATAGAAGGTATGAGAGATAGCAGGTATGATAGAAGGAGTTCCACTGTCATGAATGAAGTGCAATAAGTATGGGACTGAAAGATTTAACTGTATAATAAAATATCTTCTGTTGCTAAGAACTCTCTTAAGATTGATTGTAAATTTGGATCTAATGAGAATCTTGATAATTCTAACGATAGTATAATTTTGACCAAGTTAGAGGATGATGAAAACTATATAATAACTAGACACGCAGATCAGCAAATGGTCGTGGAATTGTGTTCATTCAATTTTGTATTACTACAACGTTAATAGGATTTTGATGTTTATATATTCAGAGTGTTAATTTAGAGATAGCTTCTTTGGCTACGATTTTATTCAGTTTAAACTATTCAGACATAAGGGAAATAATCTTCGAAGCCTCCATGGGAATGAGTAATCACAGTGTATTATAGTTTGAGAAGCTGGTAAAAGTAGGGATAATTTATCCAATAATGGGACTAGAAAAAAATACTGGCATACCTAAAGAGAAACTACAGAGATACGAAAATTCTTAATACATAGACAATGGGTTACAGAGCTAAGAGGAAAGGCTGCACAAGTCATGATGGAGGCAACGAGGCAGCAGACAAGTTTCTCCCAGTACAAAACGAAAAATCCAAATGCAAAGGAGGAACCCATGGTTTAATCAGGGATGTAAGCTGGCAAAGCGACAAGGGCAATAAGAAACTTTAGGAATACGGGATCACCAGATAGCAAAAGACGATACTAGAGGGACCAGGAGCGACTGAGAAGACAGACAGTATGAAATGACATGGCAAGTAAAACAAAGACCCAACTCAAATTGCTTCACAGCCACATCAGGTGGAAAGCAATATAGTAAAGGAACAGAAAAATGAAACTAGAAATAGAGGGGGATAAAGATATAGAGAAGGACTTAATCAAACACAAGATTAAGATGGAGAAGGTTCGAAGGTATGCCACCGGATTAGTTCCATAACTACGGGCACGAGTTACGAGGAAAGGCTACATGAACTGAAACTCAGGTCGCTGGAAGGTAAAGTTCAGGAAGACATTATTACCACGTACCAAGTCTCGGGGGAATATATAGGTTAGACTATTAACACGGGTGGCACTCGAACAAGGGGACACAGGTGGAAACTGAGAACCCAAATTAGACACGGAGACATTAGAAAGAATTTTTCAGTGTCAGAGTGGTTGACAAATGGAATGCATTAGGAAGTGATGTGGTGGAGGCTGACTCCATACACAGTTTCAAATCCAGATATGATAAAGCTTAATCAACTCAGTAACGTGTACATCAGTTTTTTGACAATTGAGAGGCGGGACCGCTCAAGCACGCTCAACACCCGCAAGTACAACTAGGAGGGTACACACACACACACACACACACACACACACACACACACACACACACACACACACACACACACTGAAGTGTGTGTTCTGAAGGGAATTGATAGGGTAGATAAAGACAGTCTATTTAACACAAGGGGCACACGCACAAGGGGACACAGGTGGAAACCGAGTGCCCAAATGAGCCACAGAGATATTAGAAAGAACTTTTTTAGTGTCAGAGTGGTTGACAAATGGAATGCATTAGGCAGTGATGTGGTGGAGGCTGACTCCATACACAGTTTCAAGTGTAGATATGATAGAGCCCAATAGGCTCAGGAATCTGTACACCTGTTGATTGACGGTTGAGAGGCGGGACCAAAGAGCCAGAGCTCAACCCCCGCAAACACAACTAGGTGAGTACTAGGTGAGTACACACGCGCGCGCGCGCACAGGGACACAATATCAACTCTGAGGGTTTGACAAGGTGGAAACAGAGGAAATGTTTACAATGAATAACAATAGAACAAGGGGGCACGGATGGAAGCTTGAAACTCAACGTGTTATAGAGATGTTAGAAATTTTAGATGTTTAGCGTAAGCGTAGTGAATAAATGGAATGACCTAAAGGAGCAGATTGTAGATGCTAACTCCATTCATGACTTTAAAAGCAGGTATGATAGAGAATTAGGCCAGGCATTGCATTTGACACCCAACGGCTAGAAAAGCGGGTTCCTATAGCGAGAGCTCGATCCTGCATGCACAGATAGGTGAGTATACAATTGGTACGTACACACACACACACACACACACACACACACACACACACACACACACACACACATACACATCAGGCTCAAACGCATCAGGCAGAAGGCTAGTTGGCGAGGCATAAGAAACTAGGCCTCACTCTCATGTAGACCCACTAATAGGGAAGTGTACACATACAATCATGGCCACCCTAGGCAGCAGGCGGGAACCTCACCGTTTAACACACTGACTCTGACAGAGGCTTCCTTCATGCCTTGCGGCGCGCAGATGTAGATACCAGAATCGTGCGCCGTGACGTCTGGGATAACGAGGATGCTGGTGGTGACGAGGCCCTTGTCTGTTGTGATGGTGACTCCTCGCCGCGACCCGTCGAACGACACCATCTGCCGGGGAACAATGAAGAATGTTTAGGCTCTCTATACTTTACTACCACCAACGGAGGATGTTCGTTAATATGGTAACGCTCCTCACCAAGATAAAGATGGTCGCTATGTTGAGGCTGGTAGCCGTGGGAAAACTGAAATTCCCATCAATGCCAGTGATGCCTTGTCAAGAAGTAAATAATCACTCAGTCGAGTTGCGTAACCTTCCTATGTTTGCGCTATTGGCTATTATGTTGTGGGTATTTTACGACCCTATGTCAAGTCCTCAGACTGGTCCCAGGGACCTGCGGTCTCCAGGGTTACAGTCTCGGTCTGGTGCCAGGGACATAATCTTGCTTAGGACACAGACTCAGGCACCAGACCAAGGTTGTGTCACAAATTCGGTCATCTCCCCGAGCCATGCGGTCACCTATACAGTATTATCATTCAATCTTTTTCAAGAAAATGCAATAAATGAATTCAAAAGCCATGAATGTATGTGTGTGTTTGTGTGGGTGGTCATACGCACACAGTGCAAATGACCGCAGTTATATGCCTAAAAGCACGGTGCTACAGTCAATGACAAGGTGTGCACTTATTTAAGCAATCTCTAATATTTTAGGGATATTCAATAATGTAGATGTGACTAATTTAGTATGCGAGTGACTCTGGCAGTTAAATAGCAAGACGCATTTATCATTGCGCCTTGACATCATCTCATCATGATGCCAGTAGCCTTCAACAACTACTGTTGGAATCCCATCGCTGCCACCAGTGAGATTGTAACCATTTTCAACTTTTGAGGACATTCATGGGTTCTAATACATTTGCTGTTTAGTCCATTTTTTATTGAATTAAAAAAAAATTGCCTCCACATCCTGCCTCGAGTCCAGTTGGTTCAAACTGACTGAACTGGTCTGGAATAACACACACAGACATCGCGCTGATTGGCTAAATAGTTACATAATGAAAATCTCCTGAGGTTGAAGGCGGGCGAGTGTGTGTGTGTGTGTGCTGTGTAAGGAAGGAAGAGGAAAGTGATTACAGACCTTATCCCGGTGATACCAGAAGACGTTCTCTGGCGGCTCTGGGCTGTCTGGCACCACGCAGGTGATGTTGAGAGGCGAACCGCGGTCCACGTACAGCTCGGGTCCTGGCGGGATCACTGCCCTCGGCTCTGGAATGAGAATCCGGAAGGAGAGCAATTGCCATAAAGGGTGGAAGAGTCTTTGACGCTGCTGATGCCACTACCATCCCTGGTGGCAGGAGTCGCTTGTCACCACCTAGACTTGGTGTTAAGGTCTTTCTCCATTCCTCAGCTCTCCACATCTATCTTGAGGTTATCTTGAGATGATTTCGGGGCTTTTTTTAGTGTCCCCGCGGCCCGGTCCTAGACCAGACCTCCACCCCCAGGAAGCAGCCCGTGACAGCTGACTAACTCCCAGGTACCTATTTACTGCTAGGTAACAGGGGCATTCAGGGTGAAAGAAACTTTGCCCATTTGTTTCTGCCTCGTGCGGGAATCGAACCCGCGCCACAGAATTACGAGTCCTGCGCGCTATCCACCAGGCTACGAGGCCCCTTGTGAGGCCACCATAGTGACACGCCTGACACAAAAGTCGAACCATAATACTAAGTGCAGCAGCATTTTGAGAATGTTTTTGGCTAGACTGTGCCCAGCCTCGTAACAGAGGCCAGCAGCAGCAGCAAGGACCCATGAAATACTTAGTGTGAAGCCCTGTGTAGGCAGGTTTATAATGGTGAGAGCGGCGCGCTCCTGTAGAGGCAAGTATTGCTCACATTCGCATAATATTATCGCACAGGCCAGACCACCTGTTGTTGGCCGGGGAACATGGGAGGACGGTGGTGCAGATCTGGAACATTAGTGTGGGCTGGCATAGTGTAGTCATAGCATAGTCTGGCCACTGAATAAACTCGATCGAAAGAGGGGCAGGAAAAGGGGTAGATAGGTTAAGAGACTTAGACTTAGGAGACTTAGACTTAGGAGACTTAGACTTAGGAGACTTAGACTTAGGAGACTTAGAAGACTTAGTGAGGGAAGGTTATTTGTCAGGAGAGAAAACTAAGCCAGTACGGCTATGTAACACTTGGAAGGGATAAGAGAACAATTATCTGGGATAGGAAGGACGGAAGGAAAGGTACCCCAATCAAGATAAAAATAATAGTGGCCGGTCTCTTTATTGGCTTCAGCCAACTGGAAGGGTTCCCATGTCATGGGATTTTAGAGAAAGGGGAGACGCAAGTTAGTCTCAAGTTGGATAAATACTCGCGTAGAGGAGAATCTAATCAGGTTAGCCTGGTTCTTCTCCACAGTTTGTGTGAGTAAAACCCATCGAAGCGAAGAAGAGACATCTTCTTCCTTTGCTGTGGCTATCGTGCGTTTCACCAATAACTACAGTTCAATGTATCAATATACTGTCATCTGTTGAGTGTTGATTCTGTATTTTTATCTCCCAAATACAATCTCATTAAATTAAATTACTATCTCATTAAATTAAATTATCTAGGACCCAGGTGTCATTGATAAATCATTTTCTCAATTTCCCAATTGAGAATCCAAAGTTTACCTGATAGATGAGAAATCTCGGTGATTATCTATCGATATTAATTTATGACAGTTTTTTGATGTTTGGAGAAGTTATTGAACTTCTGTTTTAAGCTGAGAGCTTCAGTGATATATTACAGAACCAACCTAAAATTTTAGTGTGTTGAAAATATACTTGTAGGTTAATGTGAGTTCATTCTGAGGTCAAACTTGTTTATTTTTAATTTGAGACGTGTTATTTTAATAAAAAAAATTTGTTGAAGTAGGGATAGGTTTTCCATTGACCTATTGTTTATACGTATATAATTTTCCCAAGTTTTCTCAGAGTACCATTAATTCTCTGTACTTAAAATAATAAATTATAGAGATTTATTATATATAATTATATTATATATATAACTATATAATCATCTGACTAGTTTTATTAATCTTATATTATTTGATCATGTGGTAATATATAAATATATTCTATAATGTGTGTAATATTATAATGATTGGTTTCAAGAGCGAAACCAAGTTTTCCTTAATTTTCCTTTTGTATTGAAAGATGTAATCCAGTTGGCAGTCGGATTTAGTTATACTTTTGGGGATTAAGTTTAGTGTTTCTTTGTGAAGATTTATTTAATCAAGTGATAGCAAGTCATTGAGATTAGAGAGATTAACCCCCGAAACATTCATCAACTCATTGATTAAATAAAGGCCAGTGATCAATCTGATTAGTTACTTGTGGTGTTCAGTGATTAGATTTTAGATTAGATTCCTTGAGTAGAGTTTAGATTTTAATCTTTAATAAGATTGATAATGATATGATTATCCAGTTAATTAACCAGATAGTTACTAGTTAATTGTCCTTGGATTTGCCATTACCCTTAACCTCGTATTACAGTTCTCAATAGCACACTAGTGAAACATGTGCCAGATCAGTGAGACCAATGTTAACCTGTGGTATACCTGGCACCTTGGTGCCAAACTTGGCACACGTGCGACACTAATGACGCTCCTAGCATACCAGTGATATCGATGATACACTAGTGATAAATATAGAACCCTAACTACATCTATGCCACACTAGTGAACCACAGACACCACGAGTGAACTGCAGAAAGTTGTAGCAACAGGCAAGGGTAAAAGTAAGGTGCTCCAGTGAATAAGGTATTATCTAAGCAACAGGAAACAGCGAGTAACGGTGAGGGAGGGGGGGAGACATCAGTGTGGCGAGATGTCAACCAGCGGAGTCCCACAGGGCTCAGTACTTGGACCCATCCTGTTTCTAATACATGTAAACGATCTTCCAGAGGGTATAAACTCATTCCTCTCAATGTTTGCTGATGATGCAAAAATTATGAGAGAAATCAAGACAGATGAAGATAGACAGACTACAGGACGACCTGGACAAACTGGAGGAATGGTCTAGAAAATGTCTACTAAAGTTCAACTCAGGAAAGAGTAAAGTAATGAAGTTAGGCGAAGGGAGCACAAGACTGAACACAAGGTACCATCTGGGAGGTGAAATGCTGCTAGAGTCAAATAGAGAGAAAGATCTGGGGTTTGATATCACACCAAACCGGTCCCAAGAGCCCCGCATCTAATGGATATCATCAGCGGCATATGATAGATTGGCCAGCATAAGAACTGTCTTTAGAAACTTGTGTAAGGAATCGTTCAGGATCTTATATACCACTTATGTCAGACCAATCCTGGAATATGCAGCTCCAGCCTGAAGTCTATACCTAGTTAAACACACGACAAAGTTAGAGAAGATTCAGCGGTATGCCACCAGACTCATACCGGGACTGAGAGGTATGAGCTATGAGGAAAGGCTAAGGGAACTGAACCTCACGTCTCTGAAAAACAGGAGAGTAAGGGAAGACATGATAACCACTAGCAAATTTCTCAGTGGAATTGATAGAGTGGACGAAGATAAATTCTTCAGCACGGGTAGAACACGAACACAGGTGGAAACTTAGTACCCATATGAGCCACAGAGACATTAGAAAGATTTTTTCAGTGTCAGAGTAGTTAGTAAATGGAATTCATTAAGCCGTGATGTGGTGGAGGCTGACTCCATACACAGTTTCAAATGTAAATTTGATAGAACCCAGTTGCCTCAGGAATCTGTACACCAGTTGATTGGCGGTTGAGAGAAGGGACCAAAGAGCCAAAGCTCAACCCCAGCAAGCACAACTAGGTGAGTACAGGCACCACGAGTGAGCAACTAGCACGAATGACATTGACGGTTCCTGCATCACGACTGTTTCTAGACTGTCATATGACACTCCGGACTGGCTCCGAACCCCACCACCAGACCACAGGTTGACTCCCAAGAGTAAATCCGAACAAATATACGAACTCTGCCTCCGTTACGATTCCATGTCAAGGAACGGCAGCCTATCATCCCTCAATTAGGCAGTTACAATTTTCTGTCGACTATAGGAAGCGTTTGTGTGGTCGCCCAAACTTAGGACCGGAAGAACCATCAAAGGAAGTTGATATTAGGACGTATACAGTGACATTTTACTATTCCTTAATTACTCCTTTTTATTTATCGTACTTGTTATTAGACAGAATTAGACATACATCGCGGTAACGATTGCAGTTGTCTAAGCCATGCTGAGAGGGCGCTCGCTTACATTTTTTTTTTTATGCGAGATTAGACAGCGATTATGCTTTTAAGTTTTGTAATTGTTTACCAAGTGATCGAACAAAACTACCCGGGGCCAAAATTACAGCTTCCTTGTGCCATGGGAGGCTAGAAAATGCCATTGTGCCATGGCATAAGGAAGACAGGTGGCAGCAACACTAACCAACCACATTAAGGGTGATGATACGAGCTCTGGACGGCCGCGTCGACACCTGACACTCGTACTTTCCGGAGTCTCGGAGCTGAGGGAACTTGATCCGCAGGGACCAGACGTCCGAGCCTGGCTTGTTCATGGCCTCGAACCTGCCGTCGTTGGTGAAGGTGAGACGACCCACCGTCAGGACGTGGATGTCCTCGTGTCGCACCCAAGACACCTGTATAAGAGAGAAAGACAGGGACGCACTTAGTATCCTGAGGGAGGGAGAGAAGACGTCTACTCCTGTCAAGGGGGGGGGGGAAGGAGACCATTAGAGTGGGGAGTCACTCATCAAGAGAGATGATTGGTAGAAATAATTGACATTTCCTTTGGAAGGCATTGTTGATTACTGTAGGACACATGCAAAGTCTCTGTAAACAGGTGCCTGCAATCAGCCCTCATAGCTCTAATCATCATCGGCATGATGTAATCAGCTCATTGATAAGAAAATGAGAAGTAAACGAATCAATATTCACGCTCCTTTTCCAGATGCATCGATGATTTCCAATTGATTTCCAGACACCAAACTAGATCCCAGCGTGGAACCTCCAGAGTCTCTCACCACACAAGCAATTAATTAACCAACAACAGAAAATACAGTAACCAATTCATGACATTGAGAATGGCGGTGACTATGTAACATAAAGGTTGTCCTAGTTCAAGAAATTATGCTAGGCTCATAAACATATTAAGACGAGCAAAATTTAGATAATTTTTGATGACGTTTGAATTCCAGCTCTACGACGATGTTGTGCTGTTGCTTAACGAGGATTTCTGGTAATATATGTATGGCCGTTCTACGACGATGTTGATAATATATGTTCTTTAACCTTGTTACAGTATTGATAAAATATGTTCTCTAGTCCTACGACAATGAAACTCGGCCCAAGCCTATTTTACTCCACTAAGCATTTACGAAGGCCACTTTGAAAAACAGGTGCAACACGCGATTAAATGCGTGAATGGCAAAGATGTAAATTTTCAAAGCACAATTGAATAATAATTCGTGGAGTAAGTAATTATCATAAGAAGCACCAAGCCGCGAAGGTTATGCACCAATAATTCGTGGAGCTGGAGACAGAAGACCACATAAGTAGAGGAGAAGAACCCCGCCAACCATTTGATCCTATAATCTAACACCAATTGATCCTATAATCAATTGATCCTACCAATTTGATCCTATAATCAATTGATCCTACCAATTTGATCCTATAATCAATTGATCCTACCAATTTGATCCTATAATCAATTGATCCTACCAATTTGATCCTATAATCAATTGATCCTACCAATTTGATCCTATAATCTAACATCAATTGCGTCACTTACCGTTTTGGTGCCAATATTGAGGACGTGGCAGTGCAGGTAGGCCGTCTTGCCTCTGATGACTGTCACATTAGTGGAGGTGGTGTTGGCGAAGGAAGGCAGGACCTGGTTGTTGAACCGCGCCGGAGGAGAGAACACGGCCGAGGAGCTACCCGTGCCCACCTTCTGGGTCTGGAAGCTGGGGTAAACTGGCGGGGGTTGAATCAACGTGGTGTTGGAGGAGGTAGTGAAGGCGGTGTGGATGATGTTGGAGGAGTCAACAGGCACCCCGGTGTAGACTTTCTCTGGGGCAGCTGAGAGCGACACAGCGGACTTGAACCCTGCCAGGTGGATGTGATACAAAAATTTAACAGAGTATATTCAGCATTTCAGTTATGAAAATCCTCTTCACCTTTAATTTAATATATTTATGTAAACCATATAATTTCATTCGCCATCTTCCCCCTCCCTCTCCCAAACACACATACCCCTCCCAGAACTAAGAGGCGTGAGTTACCAGGAATTGTGTGAACTTCACCTCATGTCGCTGGAAGATAGAAGAGCACAGGGAGACATGATCACCGCATACAAAATTCTCTGGGGAATTTTGTCCATCCGGGTAGACAAGGATGGATTATTTAACACGGGTGGTACTCGCACAAGGGAACACAGGTGGAAGCTGAGTGACCAAAGGAATCACCGAGACAGAAGAAAGAACTTTTTCAGTGTCAGAGTAGTTACTAAATGGAATGCACTAGGAAGTGATGTAGTGGAGGATGACTCCATATACAATTTCAAATGTAGATATGATAGAGCCCAGTAGACTCAGGGATCTGTACACCACTATATTGACTGTTGAGAGGCCGAAGCTTAACTAGGTGAGTACAAGTGACGGAGAACACACACACACACACACACACACACACAAATGGGCAGATTGCGTATCTCTGGATGGTCAAAATACCATTGAAACTGTACCTCACAAAAGATTACTAAACAAACGTGAAAGGAAGGTGGGAGTAAGCGGACAAGCCCTAACAACATGGTAAGAAATAATCTAACAGGTTGGAGCCACAGAGTAACAATAAGTGGGGCTGGGGAAGTCGGACTGGCGAACAGTAACAAGTGGAGTACCTCAAGGTTCAGGGGCCAGATTCACGAAAGTACTTACGCAAGCACTTACGAACCTGTACATCTTTTCTCAATCTCTGGCGGCTTTGTTTACAATTATCAAACAGTTAATGAGCTCCGAAGCACCAGGAGGCTGTTTATAACAATAACAACAATTGAATGGGAAATTTTCATGCTTGTAAACTGTTTAATAAATGTAACCAAAGCCGTCAAAGATTGAGGAAAGATGTACACGTTCGTAAGTGCTTGCGTAAGTACTTTCGTGAATCTGGCCCCAGAGCTGGGACCAATTCTCTTTCTAATATTGGTAAATAACATGTTTACAGTTGTTGTTTTACAGGTCGATGTTTACAGATGATGCAAAATGAATGAAGCTAGTGGTGGCAGTAGATGATTTTAGGATTCGCCAAGGGGACTTGAACAAGTTGCAGAGATTGAGAAATGGCTACCGGAGTTTAATACGAGCAAGTGTAAAGTGAAGGAAATGGGAACAGATAACAGGAGACTAAAGGGACAGTACACAGTGAAGGGAAACTACCAACCTATAACGACTCGACAAAGAGACAAGAGGGGGGGGGGACATGATAGACACGTATAACATATTTATGGGGATTGACTGAATGGAAATTGACGAAATGTTTATAATGAACAGCAATAGAGCCAAGGCGACATGGGTGGAAGCTTGAGACTCAGACTAGCCATAGTAACAAGTGGCTAATATTGTCTTGGGTTTTCTTATTAGCCATAAGGAAGTTTTCATTTAGCGTGAGAGTAGTTGGAAGATGGAATGAGTTAGAGGAGCAGGTTGTTAAAGCCACACTCCCTTCATAATTTTAATAGCTGATATGATTAGAGAAATTGACCAAGAATCAATACATTAGACAACCGAAAGTTCGAAAGATAGGGATCGAAGATTATATCGAGCAGATATAATGTTCGATCCTACAAGCACAAATAAGTCAGTAGAAGCGGGTGAGGACGCCCTCGGTACTCGTCTAGTTCTTTAATCATACACAACCAACTCTTCAGCGCCTACGTCACACAACCCTCCAGTCTCCTGGGAATTAATTCCGTCCTCGTAGCAACCTGTCCTCCTAATACAACGTCGCATGTTGATGTATACTCTACTTATGGCTAAAAATTGTTGACCCAGAAAATGGTAGTGGCTCGCGAAATTGACAGTGTTCCGTTTTTCTGTTTTGAGTTCTCTGGTAAGTTAGGATAAGGGCATTTTTGTATGATAGTTTTTTGACGTTGGAAAACCTTAGGAGAACGGGCTGGTTGTAGACCAGGGCCACTCCACCCTCCGCTTGAGCGCCAGGCAGGGCGACGGGGAAGTAATGATTGTCGTGTCGCCAGGCGCCTCTCTCCTCGCCATGTCCCGCCCTCAACAAAAAAAATACAAAAAGAGAAGGGTAAGAAAGAGGCTTACTCAGCCCAGCGGCCGCTCAGCAAGCAGAGAGTAGCAGCAGCAGCAGCTGGGGCGATAAGGAATGTCGGTCTTCACGCTCAATGCTCTGCGACTTTTGGACGTTGTCGATCCATGCGTCAAAATTCAGGCGTTCTAGTGAAATTCAACATTCTTAATTGTTAATGAATATATTTCACTACTGAACATCAGCCTCGACGGGGTTTAAAGTTTCATTAATATGTAACTCTTGTCAAATCCTGAGAATGATGAGAACGTCTTCAAGACGTGAGAAAATTCTTGTATAGAGAATTACCCAAAAGCTGCCAAGCATCTTCATACATTATCAAACTCTTCGAAGTTGGCCGAGGGAAGACGATCTACATTTTCTTTATTTAAATTTCAATTTGTATTATTTATTGTTTCTTTTAATTTATGTAACAAATGTGAATAATTTTATCCCGAATTTTTTTCATAAGTGGAATGAGTTTGTTTTGTCTTTGAGAAAATTAGTAGGTACATTACGTTAATGTGATTTCTCTGTGCCTTGGTTTGTCTTTCTTTATACCCACCTAGTTGCTAGTAGGTGCTTTAAGGTGCTACACAAAGTATCCTAGTAGCCTACTAGTATCCTAGTAGCTTTATGGTGCTACACAGAGTATCCTAATAGCCTAATAGAATCCTAGTAGCTTTATGGTGCTACACAGAGTATCCTAATAGCCTACTAGTATCCTAGTAGCTTTATGGTGCTACACAAAGTTTCCTAATAGCCTACTAGTATCCTAGTAGCTTTATGGTGCTACACAAAGTTTCCTAATAGCCTACTAGTATCCTAGTAGCTTTATGGTGCTACACAAAGTATCCTACTAGTATCCTAGTAGCTTTGATGCTATACAAAGTCTTCTAGTAGCCTACTAGTATCCTAGTAGCTTTATGGTGCTACACAGAGTATCCTAATAGCCTACTAGTATCCTAGTAGCTTTATCGTGCTACACAAAGTATCCTAGTAGCCTACTAGTATCCTAATAGCTTTATGGTGCTACACAAACTCTGGAGAGTAAGAAAGTGCTTGAATAAAGAGCCGTTTTTTCTTATTAATCATAAACAGTTATTCAATGATTATTATTATGACGAAATATGTTGTGAAACGTAATCGTGAACCAACGTTTGGAAGGTGTGCTGTACAACCCATCCTCGTGAAATAATAGTACTGATAGTAACTATCTGGGTGGAAAGTCTTAATAAGTAGTGTGATGGTCCACCAGTGTACCACTTTTTATACTATTAATTTTAGAGTCTGGAAAAAATAAAGTAAAATCAAACTTAAATATTCTCAGGCCTAGTATAGCACATATAGGCACTGTATATGTGCTATATATAGTGCATTTATATATAGCACTATATATTAAAACACTGGGATTTGTGTTAGTGCTTCACCTTCACCTCATTCTCGGATATATATCCGGCACCCACGAACTTGTAACCATTCGAACTCTGTCTTTGATAATGTTACCAAGAGTTAACGCAACGCATCCCTAGGCGACAGACCATAATAAAGTGTGAAAATGAACTTTGGAAAGTTAATATTTTAAATTTCCCTCGACAGTGAAGAAAAATATAAGAAATACTGGAAAGATTCATGTTAGAATCATTAATCTTACCCTTTCGGTCATATTCACCCTTATTTAAAAATATATATATATATGGTCGAGTGGTTAAGGTGTCCTGTAAACCAGTTGCAAAGTGCTCCTGGCAGTATGGGTTCGAGTCACTTCTGGGGTGTGAGTTGTCAGTTATATATATGTATATATATGTATATATATGTATATATATATATATATATATATATATATATATATATATATATATATATATATATATATATATATATATATGTCGTACCTAGTAGCCAGAACGCACTTCTCAGCCTACTATGCAAGGCCCGATTTGCCTAATAAGCCAAGTTTTACTGAATTAATATATTTTCTGTATTTTTTTCTTATGAAATGATAAAGCTACCCATTTCATTATGTATGAGGTCAATTTTTTTTTATTGGAGTTAAAATTAACGTAGATATATGACTGAACCTAACCAACCCTACCTAACCTAACGTATCTTTATAGGTTAGGTAGCCGAAAAAGTTAGGTTAGGTTAGGTAGGTTAGGTAGCCGAAAAAACAGTAATTCATGAAAACTTGGCTTATTAGGCAAATCGGGCCTTGCATAGTAGGCTGAGAAGTGCGTTCTGGCTACTAGGTACGACATATATATATATATATATATATATATATATATATATATATATATATATATATATATATATATATATTATACTGTGTGTGTGCAAGAGCCTGGCCCCCAGACATTGGGAGTGTTGACACATATTCTTCCAAGAGGTAAGAGAGTAGGCAAACAGAATTCTCTCTGGCTCTCTCCTCTTGTGGCCTCGCCTTTGTATCTCTTCTTTTGTATCACGAGCTGCGTCCTCGCCTCTCTGCTCCTTTATCTTTTGTCTCTCTCTCTCTCTCTCTCTCTCTCTCTCTCTCACACACACACACACTATCTTATCTCTTCACTAGATTTCACTAGAATGGTTTTTTTATACGTTTCTTCTTTCTCTTCGTAATCAATAACCCGCTTTTTTTCTCACAAAAATCGTCTTAGCTATGTTATTACCGCGGCGCTCTCGTCTGCGTGGTACGTGATGATGCTGGAGGGTGTAGTGCTAGCTACCTGTCAGTGCCCGAGGTCTGCCCCATCCTCGGGCGCTGGTGCTGTTGAGGGATCAAAGCTGGAACCTCA